TGGGTGTCCGACTTTGGCTCGGGTCATGATCTCACAGTTTGTGGGTTTGAGCCCCACATCAGGCTCTGTGCTGACAGCTTGGAGCCTGGAGCCTGCTTTGGATTCTGTGTCTCCCTCTCCCTCTGCCCCTCCCCCACTCATGCTCTGTCTCTGTCTCTCTCAAAATCATCATAAACAAACATTTAAAAAATAAAATAAGAACTACAACACCTTACAACATTGGTCATATGCCTGAAATTGTCTAAGTTGAATGGTTGTTAATGTCTCCATATCCCCATGATGCTGTCGGAGGACTTCACTCCTATTCTGCCAAAAGATAAAATTGGTGCCATCCTGAGCAGGCTGCTATGTCTGCTGAGAGAGAGAAGGTTAGTTCTAGTTTCACATGATCTTAAGGGAAAGAAAGCACTCTCCCTCCTAATCCTATCTAGAAGTAGACAAGGTATAAGTAAATAATAGTGTTAAATACTAGTATCCTTGAACCCAAATGTTCCTAATATGTGGTATGACTAATTTATACAGAAGGAACATGAATGTAATAAAGAGTCTAAACAAGACTGAGTGCCCAAATCTGTATTGGCTGTCCTGGATTATTTCTCCTGGGATGGAATTCTACATAGGCTAGAGCCATGTGGACCCAAAATTCCTGGTAAGGCTGGAGTATCTGGCAGGAGATTCTCCTGCTAACAGATGCTCTGGTGCCCAAGCCAGACCTCAGAGGTTCTGAAACCTCTCCAGAGACTGCTGTCAGAAGAGATGTACAAACACATTGTGAGCTCTGTTTCTCCAGTGTCATACCAGGGTGCAGGTCTTCAGAGGATCACACCTGGCCACTGAGGTGTGCAATTCTCTGTGACTGCTGGATGCAGCTCTGTCACAGTGTTCTCGGCCCCCTAAGATTTCTGGTAGCTGAAGAACACTGTTTCCTTCTAGGACCTCCCACTCCATAAAGACCCCAGAATGTTTCAGGCCAATCCCTGACATAAGAAGGTAGCTTCAGGTTCATTACTCTGCTCCTTCCCAGCAGCTGCTTATTTATACTTACAAGAAGCTGGATTTTTGATGTGTATTTGCAGTGTAGTAAAGCTGTTCTTGACGCATAAACACCCAAGCCAGGTATCAGGAAACTATAGTCCCTGGGCCAAATCCAGCCAGAGGCCTATTTTTGTACCACCTGCCAGCTGAGAATGTTTTTTCACATTTTAAAAGGGTTGTGAAAGCAAAGAACATGTAACAGAGACCTATGTGACCCAAAAAGCTTAAAATATTTACTATCTGGCTTCTTACAGAAAAAGTTGGCCAACCTCTACCTACTCTTAAGTCCCTAGTTCTCTGGCAAGCAGCTATACCAACAGCTGGCTACTCTCTGAGACTGTGAAAGGAACAAAGTTTATTCTGAGGCCCTCCTATAAGAACAACCTCATTCATTCATCTTTCCGTTCAAGAAACTCTGTTGCATGTCAGCGGAGCACTAAACAGAGATAAAAAGGCATTGCTGATGCTTTTAGATGCTCTGCCAACCTTAGGAAGCAGAGCACACCTAACAAAGGGAGGCAGAGTTGCCCTCAATAATACCTACTCCCACATCCCGCAGAAAAAACCTCCCACTTCCATACCCCTCTCAGCATTCCTCTGTTCTGCTTAAGGGCTGCCTAGTCCCTAACACCCAGAAAAATTTCAGCAGCAGCTTCTCAGCAAACCCCCATGGTCTGGTTCCCTGGCATTAAACCCTGGAGAACATCAGAATTGCCTTGTGATTTTTGGTTTTGTTTAATGTATGTACACAAGCCTCACCCAATACCAACTGGAATCTCAAGAGGTAGACACTAGAAATCTAGTTTTAATAAGTTTCCTAGGTGATTAGAATACAGCCACCCACCCAGTGTTCTGTAAACTAACCTCACAAACTGCTGCTCAGGCCTTCTCTTTCCCATCCTCATTGTAATGTGCCTGTCCTCATCCCTCTCCTGGTAATATTTCCTTGCAATTGGCACTAAAGTTTATAGGAGCCTCCTGGAGACAGTGCCTTAACCCAAACACATGATTCCACTGTAGGCTTTGTGAGCATGTAACATGTAATAAGGACAGCTGAAGAGCAGGGAATCTCGGGAGCTATCTGTCAGGCAGGCCTGGGTCGTTAGATCCCAGGAGGCTTTCACATTGGCTGCTTCTTAGGTTTTCTCCTAGTTCCAGGAGAATTAGTGGAGAGCTCTATTTAAATGATCCCCAGAGAGCTTTTGACAAGAAGGCCCCAGCAACATTAACTATCACAGTTCTCGAAATTGAGGCCATAATTTGCAAAACTGCAACCCATAAAGAGGCCTAATACCTATTCTGCTGAGAATAGTCCTGGTGTAGGCATGTCTGTTCTCCAAATAAAGAGCAGCAAAAGATCTGATGAAATCAAGCTGCTTCAGTCTGTAACTCAGAGGGTATGTTTACTTGTATTGATAAATTGTCTCAGCAAGATATCACTGAAGGTATTCTATTTAAATAGGAAGTTTTAAAAGAATGAAAGCTGTAGGAATATCTAGCCCAGCCCTTCCATTTTAAATTAGCATGTTGATTTAAAATGCTCCAGAGGAGCTGCCCCAGAAACCATGGACTCACTCTATATAATCAACACAGACCAAATTCTGTCATTATCAATCTCCAAGGTAATGCCCACTTTTGTATGAGTATTCTGTATCATATATTGATAGGAAAAGCTCACATGTTTCATTTGAAGGACACGTTTATTTATGGTTAACTGTTGTGGAGAGCCACAGAAATTTAAAATGTTTGTACAAGCTAGAATATTATTGCTGGTAGCCGGTATCTGCTTTTACAAGTCATGTGGATTACCTTGAGAATAACTTCTAGAGAGTGCTGGTTTAAACCAGAGTAATAGTTAAACAAAGTACCTATTCTGTAAATTAGACATTAAAATTCTCTAGACTATTCACTTTCTGCCAAATCAGTGTAGAAATTTAATAATTACTTAAATTCCATAGAAGAGCTAATGTGTAAGTAAAAGACTTTTATCAAAAGAAGGCTCTAAGATGTCTGTTTCAATTGTTAAAAATTCAAGGTGTAACCAACTGTGATTTGTCCCATTATAATACCAATTACCTATAGTAAAGGTCCCATTTAATTTTGAATTTTACTTCTAGGAATGATTTTATTCAGCTTCTGCCCTTACAATAGCAAAATGATGGATTTGACTTTCCCTTCCGCTTTCCTTTCCTACCTTACCTGCACACCTGAGTGCTATTTTAATGATATGCTTGAAGGGCCCAAGCAGAGATGTCCAAAGGAGGCAGATTAAAGTCCAGACTCCTGAGAATTCGAAGTAGAGGCTTTTCTCAGCCAGGAGGGAAGTCCATGTGAACTGCAAGAATAGACATCCTCTAGGCTGTCCTACCTATCCAGCAGTTAGTTGCATTTGTATGTGATTTTCAGAACATAATTTCCTTTCCCTTCATGGTAGCCTCAGGGCTGTTGGGGCACAAGATGTTTTTCACACATTAGAGAAAGTTCCCTGGGCTGTCAGAGAATAATTAATTGCTTCTCGTTGGCTGTTCTTCCTCACTTATGCTGAAGTATTTTGAGAACTTCATTATGCAACTAAATAACCATGGCTGCACTTCTGGTATAGTAAGACCACCTGAATAATAGGTCTGGTCATGAAGACCTCCACAGCTCAAGATATATGCCAGTTCTAGTCTATCATGTTTCATGCATAGGAGATACTAAGACACTTGCATAATCAGAAAGGTAGTCTGTGCAGAAAATGAGCCATCATCATGTATCTGACCAAACCAGAAAGCTTACTTGCTAACCAAAAACAATATCTGTTTATTTCATTGTGATTCCAAGTAATGAACATTTTCAGATTTTTCAGTTTTGCTAAGAACTGAGGTAGAAAGAATGTTTTGAATTGGCTTACTTTGCAAGTTAATCTTTCCATCACCTCTCAGTTGAGTTCTTCAGGCTGTTAGCACATCTTCACTTTGACCTTACATGTTTTCCTATACCATTTTTTTCCCTTTGAAGATTTTTTTCCCAGGACTTTACATTGCTGTTGTTGTGGTTGTCATCATGGTTGTTGTTTTGAAAGTCAAAATACCTTCTTTAGAATGTATGAATAAAATTGGTCATGTTACAAACTTAGAAGCTTAGAGCAGCCCAAATGAGCTCTTCTTATACATGAATAGACAATCCCCTTACCCTAAAAAAAAAGGCAGATGTGGTCATTTCTTAGGTCATTTCGGCTTGCAGTTTGGGCTTCACCTGCCCAAGTCTCGAGCAGCAGATATTGGCAAAGTGGGCAGAAGTCAGAGAGAAGCAAAGAGCATAACACATTGTTACCCCAGTGCCTAAGCACCTGTGCTTCTGGAAAGTCATCTGCTCCCAGAGCACTTGCAACACAAAGAAGAAAAAAAAATGACAGTCCAGTGACCTAGGTCTGGCATTCCAGCAAGGGATGGGATTTGGAGCTAAGCCTCCAGAAGGAAAAAGTAGTGTATCCTCTAGTCAGACTTAGAAGGGTCGCAAGTTGAAAAAGAAAACCCGTAAAGGAAAAAGGAAACCACTTTTTTTTTTTTTTGGAGGGAAAGGAGGAATGATTAGTAGTTAAGTAGTAGACATAATACAATAAATGTTATTCCTGTTGATTCTAAAAATCTTCCCCCTTTGGAAGGTTTAGATTTCAGCTATTCTCCTGGAAGATAGACTGAGTAGTCACCTGTAATACAAGAGAAGATTCTCTGCCTCAGCTTTTCCCACCCTGGACAAACTGTGGTGAACACCTTTAGAAATTAGACTTAGAGAGCACCTGACTAACCAACAGAGTGCTGCCGCACTGATATCAGTAGAATGTCCACCGTTATTAACCAAGCTTGCAATGCTCTGAGCACCCACCTCAACACTGGAGGATCCAAATGCTAGCCTGGTCCTCCGTACAAACGGGGCAGTGTGGCTCCTATGGTCTTGAAGACATGACATTTCTCTCCCCATAGGTGATATCCGCAATGACCTGTACCTAACCTTGGAGAAGGGGGATTTCGAGAGAGGGGGAAAGAGTGTACAAAAGAATATTGAAGTGACCATGTATGTGCTTTACGCAGATGGAGAAATACTGAAGGTAAGACTTGCCAGTCAGTTGGGAAAGGAGGCTAATCCTGTAATAATTTTAATGAGTCTATGGACTTTATTCAGAGACCCATTCATCAAGCAGACTGCACTCACATCACCACGTATGCATTCTTCTCTGCCTTTTCTTCAAGGAAACCCTGCAGTATGCTTTGATAATGACTTCCAGTGTCACACAGCCTTTTTAGAAATTCTTCCCAGTCTGACCTCAATCCTTCCTGCTCCAATTTAGACCTATTCCCTCTAGTTGTGTCCTACATGTTACTTTTTCTGCCATTCTGTCTAGCATCAAGCTACCTACTTTTGGCAACTGTTATTAGGTCCCACTCTTTTTGTTCCTTAAGCTAATGAAAGCTAAAAAAAAGTTTCTCTTTGGTCAGGAGTAGGACTTAGGCACTCACTGGCTGGTACCAAGTTATGTGACAAGGAACAGCAGACTCAGGCTGTAAAAGATTATTTCCAGCCAATGCCAGTACAAGGATGCAAGTGTATCTTCTGTCACTCTTCATTCAAAGTGAAGACCTGGAGTGCTGTTTTTCCATTGTCAGTATGTCAGATTTCCCTCAGTCATGTCATGGTGAAGTCCCTGGCAAATAACAAGGCATCATTTGCACAGCACTTGACAGAAGGCAAATCACTCTTTTATAGACCTCCTATATGTTGACAATAGCCTTGTGAGGTAGGCAGAGCAGGAGTGGTCATCCACATTTTACAGAAGTAAATAGGTAAAATTAGTCAAAATCATCTCCCAAAGCTAGAAATAAATGGAGGATATTGTTTAATTGGTGATAGAAGCACTGATTTTTGTTTCATTTTTAAAAGCCCATCTCGAAGACTAAGGCGTGTCCATTGTTGGCATGGATAATGCCAAGGTCAGCAGAGCTGTCAGCTTCTGAGACCACCCTTGTGCAGATAGGGAGCTGCTCCTGATTGTATTGCCTGCAACTTCCTGTCTTCCAGGAAGATGGGACTACATCTTCATGGCAATATCTGAAAACAGGAGGTCAAATTAAATCTGGTCTGCCTTGTCTATATCCAAAGACAGTCAGCCAAGGGCAACCTAAAATGCCAGTGCAACATTGGGGTAAGGAAGATTAGAAAACAGGCTCTCTCCACTTTATAAATTAATTCATTTTCTGATCAGGTAAAGTGCCATATACAGTTGACTTCTCCTGTGGAGTTCATTGTTTCCTTTCTTAATGAGGATGAAGAACCTATCTTAGTGGTTCACATACACTGTTGAGCTGCCCTCCAGTTTATTGAGCAGCGTGTGTGGTTACTTTTGCCCCATGGAAAAGAAGGAGCATTGTTGACTGCTGACTCCTTATGCCATCTACACAGTTGTTTCCAAAAGTATTGAGTTTAAGTCAAATGAATTTTCTCATCTTGTAGATTTGGCCTGGTGGGAAAATAAGACTTGCGCAAAGGAGAAAGTGTCCTAGTGACAGAGAAATCCAGGGGCTTCCTCCAGCAAGATCACACTTTATTTTGCTTCTCTCTTCCAGGATTGTATAAGCTTGGGTTCAGGAGAGCCGAACAGGAGTTCCTACCACTCCTTTGTCCTCTACCACAGTAATAGTCCTCGCTGGGGAGAAATTATCAAATTGCCCATCCCCATTGACCGGTTCCGGGGCTCCCACCTGCGCTTCGAGTTCAGACATTGTTCCAGTGAGTGAGACTTCTCTCCACATTCCTTGGAAGATATGAATGTTCTATTGTCTCAGAGTTCTTTCCTCAGAAAGAGAATTAAGAGGGTTCTTATTGTTGGGGCAATAAAATGAGTTCTGAATAAATGGGTACTCAGAGATGGGGTGTCAACAGAGGCTGTTCTGTGTACAGTGACTCAAAACCAGAAAAGGTCTGGTACTCGTCCTTCTTTGTGTCTGGTCCAGACACTGGATAATTACCAGTGTTATCCTCCTTTGGATGTCTCCTGTGTACATATTAAACTGTTCCTTAAAGAGCCTCTGATTTATCAAGACTAGCAATCTAGTTTGTATTTGGGTCTAGATAGCCTGTGTACCTTGGGATATAAGTGGAAATTCAGTCTAGTACATTTATCATCATTCCTGCAGTCAGGTATGTACCTAATTAATGAAAGCAAGGGACAAAGAAGTAAAGAATGTAGGTGATAAGCACAAGGGGAATTTCTGTTAAAACGCAAAGTGAAGGGCAAAAACAACTAACACTTAGCTCTGGTTGCAGCAAAGGACAAAGGGGAAAAGAAACTCTTTGGCTTTGCATTCTCACCCCTGATGCGGGATGATGGCACCACTCTCTCAGATGACATCCATGAGCTCTATGTGTACAAGGTATGGAGCCTGGCTGTCTCTCATCTCAACCTTCACACTCCTGAAGCCACTCTCACATATGGTTCTGAGTTAGGTGGCTTTCAGTGGGCAGGCCAAAGGATCCAGGGTAGTGCGCTGCTAGATGACAGCAGGACAGCTGTGGGCAGGCTTTTGTCATGTAACTACAGTGACCTTCCTCCCACAAGTAATGCCAGCAGGCCCTTTGTCCCTCACCTCCCACTCCACAAATAATGGAAGTCTATTACCAACTCCTCTGTGCCATTAGCTAGTACATTCAGAGACCTGCCATTTGAGATCATGGTTTTGTCAGCTATCACAGCATGGCTGCCACCCAAAGTTGCCTGCACAGCAGATGGAGGCCACCTGCCCCACCATGTTCTCTCTAAAAGGCATGTGAGCCATATGGGGAGTTTCTGAACAGAAAGCACTCTTCTAAGAGGACCTGAGGCCCAAGATCTAGCCTTAGGAAGATGAGAGCAAATATCAACATTGAAAAATCTGTGACCTGAGTTTTCCACATGTCATGGTTCAGGAAACATTCTGTGTTCTCTACTTTTGCCTGCAGTGCGATGAGAATAGCACGTTTAACAACCATGCTCTGTACCTGGGCTTGCCCTGCTGCAAAGAGGACTACAATGGCTGCCCTAACATCCCCTCCAGCCTCATCTTCCAGCGCAGCACCAAAGAGTCTTTCTTCATTTCCACACAGCTCTCCTCCACCAAACTCACCCAGAATGGTAGGTGGTGGTACCTACAGGGTGCTGCGCTCCCTGTCCTCAGTGACTGGTTCCATGTTGCTGATACATGCTAAGGGAAACAGAAGTCAATTGCTTTTTCATGCCACAATGAGGGCATTCTTTTCATCTGAAGTTGAAGGAACCACTTGGTAATAGCAACCTGTAAGATTTCCCATGGTTTTATTAGCTCCAGAATGCACCTCCAGATTTCACAGATGTGTCTTTGGCCTTGATATCAGCACTAAAGAGTCTGTTGTAATGTTAGCAGCTACTTCTCTTCCCCCAGATTCCACCTGTCCTTGGCAGGGAAAGTCTGGGTTTTGCTTGTCCTTGGCATAGCCAGTGTTCACTACTTTTGGGCTTGCTTTGTAGTGGACCTCCTTGCTCTGCTGAAATGGAAAGCTTTTCCAGACCGGATCATGGACATACTAGGGCGGCTGCGGCATGTCAGTGGAGAAGAAATTGTTAAGGTATGCCTTCCTATAATTCATAGATGCTACCTAAGTAAGAATCTGGGCAGAAGGTCTTACTTCACCTTGATTTCTACCAGTATACCTCTAAGACCATTTCTCAAAATATAATTAGTGAGTAGGACTAGAGTTATTTTTCTTTTTCTTTTTTTTTCAGTTAGCTTCTTTTTTAAAAGTAAGTATGACATCAGGTTTATTACCTTTTAGAAACTAAGTTATAAACCCTATTTTCTGACTTTTTTTCCTTCCTAGAAAGTAAAATGATAATTAGAAACATACCCAGTGCTTTGTGCTGCCTCCTCTTCCTTCCTTAGGTCTCTTTCTCATTTTCCTTATCTGTAACCCTTTTACCACAAACCTGGCCTGAAGTCTTTCTGGCCGTACTCACTTGATTATCTAGAAGAACTTTAAATACTCTCCATTAACTTGTAGCTGCTGCTTTTGCCCAGTCTCTCACTTACAGTCCATACCAGAGACCTTTCCCTACTCCCTGCCTCAACTGCTTTCTCTAGATACCTTTGTGACATTTCCCATCTATGGCCCCGTCAGGCTGACAGCAACACTACAAGTCCCCTGTTGTCTTCTGTAAGGCTTCTCTGCATTGCACAGAGTGTTTGCCCGCCTGGCACCTCCTGATGGTGAAAGTGCTGCAGGTGGATTCTGCACAATGGACTGAAGTCTGCTGAGGAAAGTGGAGGTGCTTTTGATGATGAGCAAGAGCAGTGGAATGTAGAATGGACACTAAGTGTCAAGAAGACAACTTGTCATCAGTGAGCATTGCTCTGTCATTATAATTATCAAATCAATTAGCACAGATACCCTATCTGTACTTTCATTTTATAGCTGCATTGACTCAGTAACACACAACATGCTGTCTCCAAATGAGAAACAATTTTAAAGTCTGTATACATCTGTATATTTTTATGAAGTTTTGTCTGAATTTTGTTTAAATCAATTAGAGTATCATAAATTTTAAAAAGAACTCTTAACCAAGCTAATACTAGTTTTTGAAACTTAAGATCAGTTTATTCTCAGGGCATATTTTTCTTTTAAATATATCCAATATTGCACTGTATATTAACTAAAATATAAAAATAAACATATTTAAAATATCAATTAGCAGACAAGGTATTAAGAGAAGTGTATGATTTTTTCTGAGAGAGTAAGTGAGCATGAGTGGGAGTGGGGGTAGGGGCAGGGGAAGAGAGAGAATCTTAAGCAGGCTCCACGCCCAGCATGGAGCCCAACACAGGGCTCAATCTCATGACCCTGAGATCAGGACTTAAGTAGATATCAAGAGTCAGACACTTAACCTAGTGAGCCACCCAGGCACCCCAAAGTCTGATCTTTTTGAGGCTGAGTAGTGTTGTATTTCCAGTAAGAGACTATCTTATCAGCATATCTGCTTTTAGCATCAATAATTGATCTCAAACCACCAGAAGAGAGTGTGAAAAGAATGTGCCAGCATTTTTAAATATTATTTTTTACTTTTTATTAGACTATTTCAAATATACACAAAAGTAAAATGGTATAAAGAACCCTACATGTATCTATCACCTAGCACCAGCAGTCATCACCCTATGGCCAATCCTGCCCATCAACGCTGCCATCCAAACCTTCCACCTTAGACTTGTTTTAAAGTAAGTTGTAACTTGGCAGTGAGAAAGAATGAAATCATGCCATTTGCAGCAATATGTGAATAAAACTGGAAGGTATTATGCTGAATGAAATAAGTCAGTCAGAAAAAGACAGATATCATATGTTTTCACTCATATGTGGATCTTGAGAAACTTAACAGAAGACCATGGGGGAAGGGAAGGAGAGAAAAATAGTTACCAACAGAGAGGGAGGGAGGCAAGCCACAAGAGACTCTTAAATACAGAGAACAAACTGAGAGTGGATGGGGGGTGGGGAGAGAGGAATATGGATGATGGGCATTGAGGAGGGCACCTGTTGGGATGAGCACTGGGTGTTGTACGTCAGTGATGAACCATGGGAATCTACCCCAAAAACCAAGAGCACACTTTACACACTGTGTGTTAGCCAATTTGACAATAAATTATATTAAATTAATAATAAAAAATAAACAAATAAAATAAAAAAACATTGTATCATTCAATTGCCTTTTGACCACAGAATGTTAGACTTTATTTTGGAAGAAGACTGTCAGTATCCTTGAGTATTATTCTCTCCCTTGGATTTTGTATCTTAGAAAGAAAAAGGCACATGTTAAAAACCAAAAACAAAATGGTACTTCTTTTACCCTCATTGACAGACCTCAGCAACAGCTTTCTCCCTTCTCCCAGAATACTGATTTCTAGACCAAAACATGGTTTCTATAGTTAAGACCTAGCCTGCCACACCCTCATTCAAATGTCCTCTAAAGAGTTAGGCCACAATAAAGAGTGAGGGGCTACTAAACTCTTTGGGGTCCCAGGAGAGTGAACTCTTTTTCTCAAAATGAATTTGGCATCAGAATCACTTAGATTGACTTTATTTCAAAATTACAATTCTACATGGATGTCCTGTTTTTTTAAGTGACCGTTCTTTCCATAGAAATTTTGCACTTACCCAAGAGAAAGAGCCTCTCCAAATATCTCTCAGGGCCCTTAGCTAGGTGGAGGTGGGATCCTAGATTAGTTTAGTTTAAGTGGTGATTTGAGATCTTAAGAGATCTTTGAGTTTGTTTATTGGGAGATGAGTTCATTGGTGTATGGAAGTTTGACCATGTGTTCAAGGTCCTAAGATCTGAGCCCTCTGGTTTTTATGTTGCAGTTTCTGCAGGACATCTTAGATACACTCTTTGTGATTTTGGATGATAATACAGAGAAATATGGCCTGTTGGTGTTTCAGTCTTTGGTAAGTCTCACCCCTCCCGACTTTTCATTTTTATTTATTATTTCTGTCATATGTTTTTAAAAATCCAAGGGAAGCAGTTTATTAGAGTGAGTCAGTATAACATCTATGCAGATGTTTCCAATAGAAAAGTGGCTGAGGAGTGTCACCCAAGGAAGACCAACCAACCTACCAACCGGGCAGATCCCTACAGCATCAAATTTGAAGAATTCAGCATGGCCAGGTCCGGGCCTCAGTAGTTTTGATACCTCAGTCTCATCACTGTTGCAGAGTTGCCTAGCCCCTGAAATAGAGACCTACACCAATAAAAGGCTTGGAGACTGATATAGGAAACCAGATGACCTGTTTTTTCACCTACAAAAATAGGGTATAATGGCCAGGAAGAGCAGAGTCTCATCTGTGATGGTCTGAGCATCACACTCTCTCCCTTTGGGCAGTTGTTTGGGAACCCAAATCTCTGTAGGTTGCTTAGTGAGAATGGACAGTGATTTGAATGTTCAGTGCATTTTGCTTAATATATCCTGTCCTATAGGAGTGCTGTATATTCAAGAACCATATACTGTAAGTCTACCTGATAGATGAGGATCAGAAGTGAGAGTTAAAATGGCACTTGCATAGATTGCCCCTCTGGCTTTTCTTCCTTGCTTTCCTGGCCAGCCAGCCCCATTTCGGAAGGGCACAGCCTTTCATAAGTTGATCTGGCTCAGAGGACAATCTTTTTTTTTTTTTTTTTTTTTTTTTTTTTTTTTTGTCTCTTTTCCAAATTTTTTGAGACACCTTAGAATTTATGCCACCTTACACAGGTATCGCTTTGCCTTTTCCTAGTCTGTATTGTGTCATCCAGCATTATTATGAAGAGAGAGGCTCAGAGTAACACTAGCACAAACAGAGGAGTCCCAAGTCCAGACTGGGTGGCCGGGGGCTGTGGGAATAGAGCAGACAAGACAGAAATACAGGTACAGAATAGAAATCTTACTTTCTCTGCCCATGGAAAACACTAGAGAAAATACTGACGGTTTGTCATTTCTTGAAGAAGCAAGAGTTCTGTTTCCTGCTGGGGATAAGTCCAGGGTCTCCAGTGAACTGTAGTACCCTACATCTCCTTCAGGTATTCATCATCAACTTGCTCAGAGACATCAAGTATTTCCATTTCCGGCCTGTAATGGACACATACATCCAGAAGCACTTTGCTGGAGCCCTGGCGTACAAGTAAGTTCCATTTAGCATCATCATTAGGATTTGTGTTTGAATAGAAGGACAGGCTTAAAAAAAGGTTCCATGACAACCACCATTCATTCAGCTGACATTTTTTTTTAATTTTTTTTTTTTAACATTTATTTATTTTGGGGACAGAGAGAGACAGAGCATGAACAGGGGAGGGGCAGAGAGAGAGGGAGACACAGAATCGGAAGCAGGCTCCAAGCTCCGAGCCATCAGCCCAGAGCCCGACGCGGGGCTCAAACTCACAAACCGCGAGATCGTGACCTGAGCTGAAGTCGGACGCTTAACCGACTGAGCCACCCAGGCGCCCCCAGCTGACATTTTTTTAACTTCATTTTTTTCTAATTCTGATAAAATACACATAATATAAAATAATACCATTTAACTAAAAAAAAAATTTAATGCTTACTTATTTTTGAGAGACATAGAGAGACAGATTGGGAGTGAAGGAGGGGCAGAGAGAAAGAAGGAGACACAGAATCAGAAGCAGGCTCCAGGCTTTGAGCTGTCAACACATCCTGATGCAGGGCTCAAACTCACGGACCCCGCACAAGATCATCACCTAAGCCGAAGTCAGACGATTAACCAACTGAGCCACCCAGGCGCCCCCCCCCCCTCCATTTTAACTATTTTTAAGTGTACAGCTCAGTGGCATTAAGTATGTCCACATTGCTGTACAATCATCACCACCATCTATCTCAAGAACTATTTTTATCTTGCAAAACTGAAATTCTGTACCCCTTAAATAGTAACTCCCCATCACCTCCACCGTCCCTTAGCAACCTCCATTGTTACACTTTCTCTTTTAATTTGCTTATTCTAGGAACTTCATGTAAATTGAGTCATACAATATTTATCTTTTTGTGTCTGGTTTATTTCACTTACCATGTCTTCAAGTTCCATCTATGTTGTAGCATATGTCAGAATTGCCTTCCTTTTAAAGGCTGAATAATGTTATGTTGTATGTATGTACCACATTCTGTTTATCCACTCATCCATCAATGAATACTTGGGTTGCTCTCACCTTTTAGTTATTGTGAATAATGCTGCTATGAACATGGGTATACAAATATCTCTTAAAGACTGATTTCATTTCTCTTGGGTATATACCCAGAGGTGGGATTGACCACTATACTGTTTTCCACAGCAGTGGCTGCAGCATTTTACATTCCTGCCAGCAGTGTTCAAGGGTTCCAGTTTCTCCACATCCTCAAGCAAAGACTTTTTATTTTTTGTTGTGTTTGGAGAGGGATTTTTTTTTTTTTAGAGTCATCATGCTAACTGGTGTGAAGTGGTATCTCATTGTGGTTTTGATTTGCATTTTCCTAATGATTAATGATGCAGAGCATCTCTTCATGTATTTATTGACCATTTGCATATCTTCGTTGGAGAAAATTTATTCAAGTCCTTTGCCCATTTTTTAAAAATGTTTGTTTATTTATTTATTTATTTACTTATTTATTTATTTTGAGGGGGATGCACAGAGAGGGAGGGAAAGAGAGAGAATCCAAGCAGGCTCCACGCCCAGGGCAGAGCCCAGTGCAGGGCTCAATCTCATGACTGCAAGATCATGACCTAAACCAATTTGAAGTGTCAGAAACTCAACCAACTGAGCCACCAGGCACCCCTCCTTTGCCCATTTTTTAATCAGGTTGTTTGGTTTTTTAAGTGCTGTTTTTCCAGTTCTATGTTGAGTGGAAGTAGAAAAAGAAGGCATCCTTATTCCTGATCTTAGAGGAACAACTTTCTTTCACTGTTGAGTAGGATATTGGTTGTGGTCTTTCAGCTGACATTTTAAACCATAGTTTACTACACAATTGTCATTCTTTTCCTTCCAAGAACTGGCAGCAAAGCTACTAAAAGTAAGTCTTGCTTTTTCATTGAGAAACATGAATAGCTAAAAATGGCACCAACATGGGGCGCCTGGGTGGCTTGGTTGGTTAATCATCCGACTTCGGCTCAGGTCATGATCTCACGGTCCCTGAGTTCGAGCCCTGCATCTGGCTCTGTGCTGACAGCTCGGAGCCTGGAGCCTGTTTCAGATTCTGTGTCTCCCTCTCTCTCTGCTCCTCCGCTGTTCATGCTCTGTCTCTCTCTGTCTCAAAAATAAATAAACGTTAAAAAAAAAATTAAAAAAATTAAAAAAATAAAAATGGCACCAACAATAAATGTCAAAGAAATAAAAAACTATTGATAAAAGATATAATATAAATGGTTAACATGGAAAACAGAAGTTATCTAAAACCATTAAGGCAATTTAAAATTGCCTCATTTTCTTCTATAGAATTAGCACAATTTTTGAAAATATATATAAAACCAATGGGTGACGAGGCTGTGGAGTCACTGGAACTCTGACACTTTGATATCACTCTGTAGAGTGGGCACTTGCTGTAGAGCGAGCAAGGAGAGGCACATAGGACCATATACCTTTATCCAGAATCTGCTACTTACTAGTTATTGTTGTATGTTCTGGAGACATAGAAATTTTAGACAAAACAAAATTACAGGTGAAGTCTAGGACTCTAGGAAAACTTCTTATCAAAGAAAAAATGTGTGTCAGGGAAAGAGAGAAAGAATGATTATAATTGCTAATTAAAATGTGGCAACTCTACAGACGAGGCATGTTGTATGGTCTCAGATGATCTGAAGATTTCACATTTGTAACAGATCCATCACTCCATTCTGCCTCATAAGCAGTATATTTATTTTTCCTGTGTGGCAAATTCGGGGCTGCAAAAATTTCAAACTGCATTGCTTTTGAGTTAAAGTGGGGTTTCTGGAACTGTTCTCTTTCCCAGGGAGCTCATTCGCTGTTTGAAGTGGTACATGGACTGCTCAGCAGAACTGATTCGACAGGACCACATTCAGGAAGCCATGAGGGTAATGTACTGAGCTCACTGTACATAAAGGGCCCACCCCTGCTGTTGTTTGTCAGTAATTTCAATGGTTTAGTGTGCAGAACAAGTGTCGACATCCCAGTACACTGGCCTGCTTTCAGGAATGTCTTGGACCACATAATTCCCCACTGTCCATCTTAATTTTGCCCCAGACCTTTATTCCTAACAGCGTTATCTTAAAGCAGAAAGGAGGGATGATGTACATGCAACTCCTGGCCATCCTTCCTGACTGGTTTTGCCAGCAGCATCCATCTCTGCTTCCACTGGCCAAAGCATCATATCTCCTTCTAAACCAATGTTGGTGGCAACATTGATTAGACTTAAGATCTTCCAACTTTTCCTGTCTTCAGTGGTTACTAAACATTGTTTTTTAGAACTGTTTTAAGTAAAAAGAGCTGATTGGATGCACTGTATATGGATACATTAAGAAGATAATCTTAAAACCTTGACCTTTGGAAGAAACCGGAGTCCCCCATGGCAGCACTCCTGCATGGACAGGTTCCGAGATAAGGCAGCCTTTTGCATTTCTGGGCAGCTCCAGTTTTCAGGGGACCATCGTCATTGTGAGTTAACTTCACTTTCTGGTAACTTCTTTTCATGGTACTTCTGTGGAGACCCACTGAGAGAATGTTGATTTCTCTTTTGCTCAACAGTTCTCAAGATAGCTTTTTAAAGAAAGTTGCCATATCCCTTGGGAACTCACAGCAAGTTCATGCTTTCTCCCTTTCCGCCCCTACATTTTCTTGTTCTTGAGTTATTTTTTTTAGTTGCTTTTTAACCATGTCTTTCCCACCCTTTCCAGTTAGTAATAAAAGAAGAGTGGCAACAAAGTAGTTCTGCTTTTTCTCTGTCCTCTTTTAATTTCACATCATTTGCTCTGAGTACCATTGGGCCTGTGATTTTGTTGTTCTTGTCCACATGCTAACAGGTGAGACAGGTGCTTCCCTAAACATTACCAGACTGAAGAAGCAAAATAAAATCATAGGTCTGTGTTTCCCCTGCCTCTTCTCCGTATGTTCTGTAAAAATCTAAGGCCATAAGTATTATTTCTGTTCTTCTTCATATAATACATGTCTACAAAGCAGTCAGCATCTGTTGTGGATGCCAAGATGCAAAGAAGAATAAGACAGACCTCTTGCCTTGAAGAACACATCCCCACTGAAGCATGCTCAAACACAGGTGTAGAGCAGAGTTCTGAGTGTGATGTGGGGACAGAGCCTGTATTCTGTTCTTCTTTAAACCCAGTACCTGGCAACTGCCTCAGACAATATTTGAGGGGATAAAAGTTGAGTTAAATGCAAAAGATTCTATGTGAGTCCCTAAATTAATTGCTCAGGATACTGGAGAAAGCATCACAGAAGTTGTTTTCTCCTAACAATCAGTCATTCAGTCATTCCGTCAAGTCGGTGTTACTTGATACCTGCCACGTGTCAGACACCGTAGTAGACACTGGAGATTCAGCAGGGGCCCAAGCAGAAAAGGCTGTGCTTTCATAGCACTTCCATCCAAGTGGAGGAAAGACAGACAATAAATACACAAATTAAGTGGGGAAAAAAACTTGATAAGTAAGAACTATGAAGGAAATTTACTTCAGATCAAAATTTTAGGGAAAGTTTGTCTGAGGAGGTGACCTCTGGGCTGAAATCGATGTGAAGAGCTGGGGGATGAGCATTCCAGACAGGAAACAGCATGTTTAAAAGCCTGGGTGGGAAACAACTTGAGGTTTCAAGCAACCAAAAAATAGCTGATGTGACCAAAGCAGGGAATCAATTTCAAACATTAAATTGGATGTGTGAAGTGATAGAAAGGAAGAAGTGCTGGTTCCAAAGAATCTGGCTAGATCAGCTGAGTTGATATCAGGGTTACTTAGGAAGATGCAGAATTCTGGGAGAAGATCAGGTTTGGGTGGAAAGAAAGAAGATATCCATTTGGGGGAGCACTTTTCTGAGGTACTTTCATACTTATTCTTACCGCTGCAAACCTGTTTGAATGGCCTCTCATACTAATGCATCCAGTACTAAGGTTTTATCAGGTCATTTCCCCTTCTTCTTCAAGTTTTAGTTGACAAGTCCTCTTGACCAAACCAGTAAATCTCTAATCAGTCCTGTTTTCATCCTTCACAGGATGCATATGGTCCTGGCCTAGCACCTCTCAGTCTGGTATGATAAAATGTGGACCAGGAAACCTCTTCTTACTCTTGATTCAATACATGCTGCCACTCATTCGCATCTCTTCCTTTCACTTTCAAAGTCGTGGCCTTTCTAAGAAAGTTTGACCACTAAGGAATATGAAAATAAAGAGTCTTTCGTTTTCTTACTTGGTTATTTTGTTTGTCCCTTGTGAATGACCTGTAGGAGGTATCTTTGACAGGTTTGAGTTTGGTATTTGGCAAGATATTCTAAAAAGACAGCACACTTTTCACTGGTGAGCTATCTCAGGTCCCCCAGGAAACCATGAAGAGAAAAGAGCAGGCACAATGGATCTTCTTGGTGCTTGAAAGGTTGTAATAACTTTTAGGATCTCTTTTTCTTTCAGGCTTATTAACTTAAGTAGAAATGCACAGAGTGGCTGCTTCACCCACCATTAAGTGTTTCATTGTCTCCATGAAGTGTTGGGAGAACCCTTGAACTTTGAACAAACTCCATAGGCTCCACCACTCACCTCCTTCCTCACTGGCCCACCCTCTTCTCTTTCCCCGGTTGCATTAGTCAGAGGCAACCGGCCATCACCTGGTCCTTCCCACGCTGGTACTGACCATAAAAATCAAGAGGAGTGGGCAAAGGAAGTCAGGGGGTGATGGATGACTGGAAGTGGACTTATTTTTTATCCCTCATGCAGGTTTTCGCAGGGCCATCTTGGACGTTGTTTTATATTTTAAAATTTAATGAAGATACTAAGCTCTCAGGCCCAGGAAATGCAAGCAATTTTTCTGTCTGGTTCTGCCCTTCACTGTGAAACTAGTGGATGTTTCAAGCCATTCAATACACTCTTGTGTTAGCTGTTTCAAACTGGAAAAAGAAAACAGGTCATGAGGTACACATTTTCCCTTTTAAAATTAGAGTATGTAGCACACATCTCCCTGGTTCTTTTCAGACCCGGCATTAAAAGTCTGAAATGGAGGCTGTAGCATTTATGCTGCTGAGGCCACACACTTTAATTTTTTCTAATGCAATCTTCTGGTGCAAGGCCTGGAAGACATATTTTTCTAACCTAGCCATTCTACAATGCCTACTGAACTCTATATGGGCTGCAAAACAAAACAAAATGAGGTTTTGTTTTACCAAACCTTTTGATAGATACATAGGTCATGAAAGGTAGCTTGAGAATTGTTTTCTATTTTATATTTCAAGTAACTGAGCTCCATTTGTTTCATCCTTGGATAAGTTTCTCTCCCAATGTCTCTGCCTTCCCAGTGTCTGGGAAATCTGTGGCATTTCTTTGATTAGAAAGCATAGTCTTAGATCTTCAATCTGTTCTCTTAAAAGATAATTACTGTGCTCATAAGCATGGGCCAAGCTGTAAGGACTCCTCAGAATTAGATACTGCTCCCAAAATAAGTTATGGGAGCTTCATCTTCTGCATTGTTCAAAAATTGTCTGTGGGAAGGTGTCCGGGTTTGGAAGAGGATAGAGAGTGGGTGTGTCAGGTCCACCTGGGGCTGTGCAACCTGGGGCAAGTTTTCTCCAGAGTTAATGTCCAGTGACAAGGCTGGCACCATGTCAGACCCCAGCTATATCTCAAAGGTTCAGAAGGCTCCTTAAGGACTTTTCCTTCTTGGAATAAATTTAAGAGAGGTTACATCATTGCTTTTGAAGCCTCTTATTTCCAGACCTGAAAAAAATACAAAGAAACTTCATTTTCTTTGGATCCTATATGGTCTTGAATTCAGCTGTTGTGGTTCCTCAGTCTGTGGTTCCTCAATTCCAGAACCACAGAAACAGTTGTAAATTAATTTTATGATTCCTCAGTAAGAAGACAGCTGCTGCTCAGTGACCAGTTGGACTTTGGAGATAAAATTAAAAAAAAAAAAAGTGCTTGTCTCCACAGTTGAAATTGTTCATCATCTGATTTGGGTATAGAATTTGCTGTTACTTTACCCTTTATTCCCTGCTGTGTTAGCTCTTGGCCATCTTTAACACCTCTCCATTCCTTTTACTTAGGCCTTGGAGTACCTTTTCAAGTTCATCGTGCAGTCCAGGATCCTGTACTCCCGAGCCACCTGTGGGATGGAAGAGGAGCAATTCCGGTCCAGCATCCAAGAACTTTTCCAGTCCATCCGGTTTGTGCTCAGTCTGGACAGCAGAAACTCAGAAACACTCCTTTTCACTCAGGTCTGTAAGCTGCAGGGAAATTTTGCTGCTGGATCCTTGTCTGTCCTAATGGCTGGATTCTTTGTCCTCTGGCTTCTAGAGTTGAAGAAGCCCTGCCAGGCTCCTATGTGTTGGGTAAAGGGTGACTTGCAAGGAAATACCTAATAGAACAAAATGCTATTTTTACTTCAAAGTCAGCTATGCCCCAGCTACCAAATATAAGATAGCCCAGTGGCTTTAGGGTGGGGAAGAAGCACAACTTTATTCTCAGAAGGCTCTTTAATTTTTTTTTAATTTTTTTAACTTTGAGAGAGAGCAAGCACAACCAGGGGAGGAGCATGGAGGAGAGACAGAATCCCAAGCAGGCTCCATGCTACCAGCACACAGCCCGATGTGGGCCTCCAGCTCAGAACATTGAGATCATGCCCTGAGCCGAGATCAAGTGTCAGACAGTCAACCAGCTGAGCTACCCAGGCACCCCTCAGAAGCCCTCTTTAGACCAAATTTATTTAGTTACATACTTTTTGTCATTTATGAACATCTTATTTAAAGGGGATATTTAGAACATAATGGAGAATTTTATTTCCTAGTCACTGTTAATTTTTTTTAAAACTTTTTAAATAAACTTTAGTACTTGTCCATTCCAGAAGTTAAGAGTAAAATAGGCAGAAATAACTAGAAAACTTTGCTTAAGAATTAAGATTAGGGGCACTTGGGTGGCTCAGTCAGTGAAGCGTCCGACTTCGGCTCAGGTCATGATCTCACAGACTGTGGGTTGGAGCCCCACATCGGGCTCTGTGCTGACAGCTCAGAGCCTGGAGCCTGTTTTCGATTCTGTGTCTCCCTCTCTCTCTCTGCCCCTCCCCTGCTCACACTCTGTCTTTCTCTCTCTCTCAAAAATAAACTTTAAAATTTTTTTTAAAGAATTAAGATAAAATTCTATTATATATCAGTGTGGGAAGGAAATTTGCTTCCTTATATTAGAAATGCCCAGTTAGCTAATCTGTTACCTTTTCCAAGTAGCTTCATCCTAGAAAGGATCCAAGATAGTGTTTATTACCCCAGTCACAAGGGGGTTATTTTCTTATACAAATAAATTCAGAATTTTATCTAATAGATTCCATTTCTTTGATTTTTTTGAAGCCAATTATTATTCAAAACCTATCAGCAAAGATCAGACAGCCTCTCTCACGTCCATTCATTCAGTTGCTGCCAGGACTGACATGAGTGCAAATATATGTTTAAATATCTCCTTTAAGATTAGAGTAGTCTGGGGGGCGCCTGGGTGGCTCAGTTGGTTAAGCATCCAACTCTTGATTTTGGCTCAGGTCATGATCCTACAGTTCATGAGATCGAGTCCTGAGTTGGGCTCTGTGCTGACAGTGCAGAGCCTGCTTGGGATTCTCTTTCTCCCTCTCTTGACCTCTCCCCTGCTCTCACTCACATTCTTTCTCTCTGGTTCATTCTCTCTCTCTCTCTCTCTCTCTCTCTCTCAAAATAAATGAACATTAAAAAAAAAAGATTAGAATAGTCTGCTTTTTTGTTTTCCACTTGACCCTATGTTGCCCCCATGCCAATTGCCTTTAAGCCCCTTGGACCAGAGAACAGTTGAGCAACTGTGAATGAAACTCTTTAAGTGAGGATTCTTCAAGGTCTCCAGGTGCCTTTGTAAGAAAGGCTCATTTGATGGTCTCTCCTCCAGAGTACTCCAAGCAACTCCTCTTCCTCCTTGTGTCTCTCCTCTAGCTCATTGGTTCCTGCCAACAAGGGCCCAGGACACCTACTCTTCCTTTCAGCATACAAAGATGTGGGGAGCTCAGAGGTAGCTAGCAGAGCAGGGCAGATATGCTTTCTGAGAACTTGGCAATGCTTTGTACTGCATGGCATACTCCTATCTCATCAGGATAGTTCAGATTTAGTCTCAGCTTAGACCCATGTCAGGATCAGACCTGCTTCTTTGGTTCCAGGCTCATGTTTCATAAGTTTCAGAATTCTCAGCAAGTCTATGGTTCAGTCAGATTATGTCTTTGCTTCTGACCACTAGGAGATGTTAAGGTGCAAGGATCCTTCTGTTCTGGTGCATAAGTATGGGAAAGCTCACCATTTAAGAGAGCATTTACTATTTGCTTTTGATTATAAAGGACCTGCTTTTCCCCCTTTGTCTTTTTTTTTTATTTATATATGAAATATATTGTCAAATTGGTTTCCATACAACACCCAGTGCTCATCCCAAAAGGTGCCCTCCTCAATACCCATCACCCAC